CACTGAGAAGCTGCTACACTAATATAAGTGTCCCATGTCAGAGTTCCCAGCCGCTAGTGTACCTGGCTCAGGAAAGCAGATGTGCACCTCCTAGAATTACAAACAAAAAAAAAAAAAAAAAAAAAATACATTTCGAATGTATGAAGTCAGAAAAGTTTATTATGAGGAGTAAAAAAGTCTTAATTTGTAAAAGTGATATATGCTGACTGGAAAACTTAGAAATAAAAGCACAAAGAAGCAGAAAGAAATCACCATAATCTCATCACTGATAATTATAAAATGATGTAGATTGATATTTTTTACATTATAACATTATAAATACTTACATTACAGGAAATAAGGTATATGGAGCGAAGTTATATGTCAAAACCCACTTTGAATGTAAGTATAAATTTAAATTGTGCTTTAAAATTTCAGGAATTTAAAGGAAATGTCAATAAAATTGCATATACTTATGATTTGGGTATATGTGAAGGTCAAAGCAGGATTATGCAATGGTTAGGAGGAGCTAACTATGCAAATATTAAACTACTAGATTATCATAAAAATTTCAGTTAGTACCTGCATAATTCTTCTCCATTTTCTTCTGCAAAACAACCTTCCCTCTAAAACTGGCAGTGTTCTTCCTTTACTCTCAGAGAACCCCGTTGTATTGTGTTGGTACAATGAAGAGACCACATGGAAGATTCCATAAGAGAGGGCCTGGGGATTAGATAAGAAGGGTCATCACTCCATCACCAGGTGATGGCTCCTCTCAGGGCGCCTCTCTTTGTTTTTTGTAAGGGTCACTGAAGTGACTTAGTAATATCTTTCTTTTCCTTTTTTTTCAATGCCTCTCCTCCCACTCTCGAGGTGGCAGTTGCTGACTAATTACTCATTTATAAAAATAGTGTTTCTTAGATATTTATGAATTATGTTTATTTAATGAAAGATGATTTAGGTAAAATACCTATAATAATTTTTACCAACTTTTGTCTTGCCAGGAAGTAGTCATAGTAAGTGCTATAAGAACACCCATTGGATCCTTTCTAGGCAGCCTTTCCTCACTGCCAGCCACCAAACTTGGTTCCATTGCAATACAGGAAGCCATTGAAAAGGCAGGTGAGTAGTTGCTTTGCTTTTTATGTTGAGGAGGCACAATGATTCAATGGAACAGATATTTATTTTGCATTTACTGTACACATAACGTAATGCCTACATTTCTGAATTCCCTTGTAAAGAAATCTTTGGATTGAAACTCAAAACTGACAAGAAAAAGCAACCATTCCTAATAGGTAATGTCATGTACCTTATCAGGTAATCACTAGTTATTAAATTGAATAAAATATAGAAATGTCTTTTTGGCATTTTTTTTTTTAAAGGGATTCCAAAAGAAGAAGTGAAAGAAGCATACATGGGTAATGTTCTACAAGGAGGTGAAGGACAAGCCCCTACAAGGCAAGCAGCGTTGGGTGCAGGTACCAGGAATACCTTTTTGCTTTTATACTTGACATGTGTGAAATGGCAAAATGGAGGTCATTTTAGCTTAAATAAAATATTAAATGAGTTATATAATCTATAGAAACATTGGCAGAAGAAATGGTGCAGGTTACACTAATGTACTCTATTAATTTTAATTCTATAGTTGTGTTTGAAAGTGAGTATCTTCGTTTTTCAACAGTATAACTTATATTGTTTTTAGGCTTACCTATTTCTACTCCATGTACCACCATAAACAAAGTTTGTGCTTCAGGGATGAAAGCCATCATGATGGCCTCTCAAAATCTTATGTGTGGACATCAGGTAAGAAGCACCTTCTTTTCCATTTATTAATTAAAATAATACCCAGTGCTAAAAGACACTAAAAATCTAAGCATATTCATGTCCTAAAAATGAGGTTCTTTCTCATAAATGAAGTTGCTGTGTTGTCTCAGATACTCAAGTGCCTGTATTTGCTAATTTCATTTGAAGTATGGTCAAAATGTTAGCCAAAGTGTCTTGTGTTAAAAAGTAGTTTTCAGGCCAGGTGTGGTGGCTCACTTCTATAATCCTAGCATTTTGGGAGGCCAATGTGGTAGAATTACTTGGGCCAGGAGTTCAAAACCAGCCCTGGGCAACATAGTGAGACCCTGTCTCTACAGAAAATTAAAAAATTAGTTGGGCATGGTGCTGTGTGGTTGTGGTACCAGTTACTTGGGAGGCTGAGGTGGGAGGACTGCTTGAGCCTGGGACTTGCAAGTTTCAGTAAGCTATGATCATGGCACTGCACTCCAAGGCAGCTTAGTCTTCGAGAGTCTTTCTCTGAGACTGGATGATTTAAAAATTTGTAAATCTGTATTTGCTAGAATAAGAAGGGTTTTCATTATAAAAGAGAACAAGGTGCTAACCCTAGGCATCAAATCACTGATTGAGCCCAGGATTGATGACTAATTCGTAGTTCCTACAATGTCCAGATTCAGCAGTTAAGTTTATGTAAGGGCTTTCTGTTGGCCTTGCTTATCTAGATCTTGTCTTTACCTGAGATCAAGCAAGAGTTAGGCTGCTTAGCAAATATATGCCATGTTGGGAGACTAGACCTAGACTCACAGAAACAAGATTTTATTAGATCTGAGCCCTTCATTTTTCAGATGAGGCAATCTGAAAAACTGAGACAGCCACAAAATTACAGGGCTGAAATGAGAAGACAAATCTTTATCCCTATCTAGTGCATTCCAGCCTACCAGGGTGTGACACACCAGGGTAAAATCAGTTGTGAGGTGTCTTCAAATTATTTCTTACACATACAAGAACTACAGTTATGTGTACCCTTTGCTGTTACTCCCACTTTGCTTTGTTTCTAATTAGAAGACAAGCCAAAGAGAAGGAAAAAAAAGGATGGAGTTATGTGAGCTACTGTATCAGATATTTTATTATAAAAGCAATATATGCATATGCTAAAAACTCAGATCGTATAGAAAGGCATAAAATGAAAAATAAGTCTTCTTTTTTTTTTACCCCATCGGAGTCTCTGACTCATTCAGCAGTTTGGGTATTTTGCCACTTAAGAGCAAAGAAACTTTGAACAAGTTTTTTAACCTTTTTGTGTCCCACTTAATGTCTTGGATATCTTTCTTTATCAGTACATTAGATAGTATTCTATTGAATTAAACTGTAGTATATTTTACAGTTCTTTACTGAATGGACACCTAGGTTATTTCTAGTTCTTCACTATTTTTTAAATTTAATTAATTAATTTTTAGCCAGTCAAATTTAGCAGTGGGGGGTTGTATATCAACTTTAGTGACTCTAATGTTAATAAGTTCTGATAACCCACTATCATTGGACGAGCCATCCAGTTCTTCACTGTTTTAAATAATGCTGCAGTATATGTATATATCTTTGTGTACTTAGACTTAGTTCAACTCCCCTGATATAGTACAGTGTAGTGATTAAGAGTACAAAGTCTGGGGCCAGACTAACATCAAATCCTAGTTCTGCCCTTGTTAGCTGAGCATCTACAATGTGACAGTCACTGGAGATAGAGTGGTGACTGAAACATTAAAAAAATCTCTTCATGTGCAATTCTCTTCTTTTTTAATTTTTGAGACAGAGTCTCACTCTGTCACCCTGGTAGAGTGCAGTGGTATAATTGTAGTTCACTGTAACCTCAAACTTCTGGGCCCAAGTGATCCTCTTGCCTCAGCCTCCCAAGTGGCTGGGAATACAGGCCCATGCCACAACGCCTGGCTAATTTTTCTTTTTTTTTTTTTTTTTTTTTTTAGTAGAGATGGGGTCTTGCTCTTGCTCAGGCTTGTCTTGAACTCTTGACCTCAAGCAATCCTCCCACCCTGGCCTCCCAGAGTGCTAGGATCACAGGTGTGGGCCACCGCGCCCGGCCTAAAATCTTGGTATTTTCAAATGCTTTCCATAAAAGTTGCACAAGTTAACAATTTCTAGATGTTGTGTGGGTCCATTTGCTTATATCCTCATCTACTGGTTGTTACCAAACCCTTGTCAAACCAGTAGGTGAAAAATGGTTATGAGATTGTTTAGTTGTTTTTAAACTGAATGACAAGGAAAGCTTTCCTTAATTGATTTATTGTGATTCTCTAGTAAATGCTATTTGTACTGTATTGATACTTTCAGTTAGTATTATTTGATTCATTTGTGCATGTATACAAATCACTTATAGGCATACTAGGAAATGCCTTGTTTTGAATGATTGTGATTTTGGAAAATGGTCAATTTTATTTTATAATGAAGAATAACTGATACCTTATTTTCTAGCACTTACTGCCATCATCCCCTGGAAATATTTCAAGATAAGTGAATAAAACCTAAATGAGAACGAATTAAGAATCTCCATCTTTCAGAATAGGCAAAATATTTAGGATTCTTTGATATAGAGCTCGTTTTTCGTCCTGATTAAAGAATGTGAGAAAATATCAATGGATTTAATTTTATATTTACATTAATATTGTATATTAAACTGTTTTTAATTAGCCATTATAATGCAAGTGAATTTCTTTTGCTGACTTGTAATAATAGGTTAAGTGATTAATATTTATTAAGCTTCTGTCTCCCAGTTTCTGAGGATATAAAAATAGGACAGGGTTTCTCAAAGGAGCTTAGCCTAAAATTTTGGGGAGTGATGGAATTGTTCTACACCTTGATGATGATGGTGATAATTACATGACTATATGTTTGTCAAAACCCACAGGATTGCACGTATACCAAAAAGAGTCAGTTGTAATATGTGAAAATTATGCTTCAGTAAAAAAAAGCTTAATCTAGTGAGAAGATTTCACACAGAAATATAGCTACAATACAGTATAATAATAATAAAAACATCACAAGATCACTGGTGAACACAAAAGGAAGGGAAAGTGTTCTAAGAATGGATAGAAATAAGTGGTCAGGGAAAACATAATGTTGCTGTGTTTTGATTAGTTTTAAAGGAAATGTAGGCATTTTGGGGAAAGTTTAGAAGGTAGGCTGAGGTGGGAGGATCACTTGAGCCCAGGAGTTCAAAACCAGCCTGGGCAAAATGTCAAGACAAAAAAAAAAAATTAGCTGGGCATGGTGGTACATGCCTTGTAATCCTAGGTACTCAGGGGTCTATAAAGCTGGAGGATCTCTATTGCTGAGCCCAGGAGTTCAAGGTTGCAGTAAACTATGGTTGCCTCATTGCACTCCAGCCTGGGCAGCACAGCGAGACCCTATCTCTTGTAAGTAATAAATAAGATTCTCTATAAAAAATGCAGAGGGTGTGTGTGTGCATGGTATCTCTGGAGACCTTTAACTAGTTCTGTATGACCTGAGGTGTAGGTTCAGTCAATGGGAATGAAAAGGAAGCAAGAAAGAAGGCAGATTGCAAAGAGCTTTGTATACTGTGCTGAGGAGTTCTTTAAGGTGTGAAATGATCAGACTTACATTCTAGCCAAAATGACTCGGGTAAGTACAGATGATGCTGTGGTAGAAGGAAAGGCTGCATGTTAGAAGATCAAGTGAAAAATTATTTCAGCTGTCTGGGAAGAGTTGATGAAGATCTCAATCAAGGAAGTAGAAGGATTATCTCCATGAACTGAGATTACTTCTAATCTTTTACAAGACCAAGTTTTTAGGAGTGTGAATGAAATGAAGGATTAGAAGGTGTAAGAATTTCAGGGCTGGGCATGTCTGTAAGCCCAGCACTTTGGGATTCCAGGAGTTGAAGAGACCAGCCTGGGCAACGTAGGCCCTATCTCTACAAAATAATTTTTTTAAAAAATTAGCCGGTCATGGTGGTACATGCATATTGTCCCAGCTACTCGGGAGGCTGAGGCAGGATGATCCCTTGAGCCTAGGAGTTAGAGGCTGCAGTGAGCAATGATGGTGCCACTGCACTCTAGCCTGGATGACAGAGTGAGAACCTTAAAAAAAAAAACAAAAACAATTTTAGGAATTTTAGAAGATGGTCTTAAATGAAAAGTTCTTGCAATTCTTATTAATGTTGATTCTAACCTTAATTCTCATTACACATTTTATTTATTTTTTTGAGACAGAGTCTTGCTTTGTCACCCCAGCTAGAGTGCAGTGGCATCGTCATAGCTCACTGCAACCTAAAACTTCTGGGCTCAGGTTATCCTCCTGCCTCAGCCTCCCGAGTAGCTGAGACTACAAGCATGTGTCACTGTGTCTGACTAATTTTTCTGTTTTAGAGATGGAGTCTCACTCTTGCTCAGGCTGGTCTTGAACTCCTGACCTTAAGCAATCCTCCTGCCTTGGCCTCCCAGAGTTTTAGGATTACAGGTGTGAGTCACTGCGCCTGGCCTCATTACACATTTTAGACCATTTGTTTCCTTTCATCGTGGTCACGTGGCAAAGAGGGTACTTCCCATATTCCCTGTGTAACAAATGTTTAATAAAGTATGTAGAATACTTGTTTGCTGGTAGCTGGGTAAAGGGTTATAATGGGTTTGCAACTATTTGAATTGACATTGGTTTTTTTCTGTATTGCTGAGCAGGACGTGATGGTGGCAGGTGGGATGGAGAGCATGTCCAATGTTCCGTATGTAATGAACAGAGGAGCAACACCATATGGTGGGGTAAAGCTTGAAGATTTGATTGTGAAAGATGGGCTAACTGATGTCTACAATAAAATTCATATGGTAAATGTTGCTTTTTAATGGAGAAATGCTATCTGATATCCAGTACTGCTTGATTTTTCTTTATGTATTTTACAAACTGAACTGAAGGATAGGCTCTATAAATGTTGATTTTAGACACTCATTTTAGGAAAATATTTTTCGATGCCTATTGTAGGAGTGTGGCTCAATTGTTAAAAAATTGTCCCACACTTGAATAGGGCATTTTCTGACTTCTCAAATAGCAACTTCTGGGCTAATTCAAGTATATGAAGATAAGACATGAGTGAAAAATTACCTAGTGTAGAGGTAAGGATATATTAAGAAACTAAATTTAACTGCTAACAACTATGTTACAAGTTATAAGTTAACAGATATTTTTAAAATTACTTAACCTAGTTTTAAAATATTCCAACTTTTTTCAGGGCAACTGTGCTGAGAATACAGCAAAGAAACTGAATATTTCACGAGATGCACAGGATGCTTATGCTGTTAATTCTTACACCAGAAGCAAAGTAGCATGGGAAACTGGAAAATTTGGAAATGAAGTTGTTCCTGTCACAATTGCAGTAAAAGGCAGAGAATGTTCCAAAATACATTTTAACTTTTAATAGACTTCACATGTTGCTGAAATGTTTAAGTTTTAAATTAGTACATTACCTTTGTTTGTTTCAACTGAGGACACTGATACTTCTACTTATGGTTAATAAAGGGAAGAGGTGCCAGTTCTGAGATAACATATTTCAACCCAATTTAATGTCAGATTTCAATCTGATTATAAGATCTACTAAGCACATTATTTTTAATTTGAGAGATATAAATGGCAGACAACACAGTAACTTAAGTAAAAAAGGGCATTTACTAGAAGGCTATTGGAGGTACCTCCCAGAACTGAAGGATGGGCAGCAGCTACCAGTCAGCCCTGAGAACTTCAGGGATTGGAACTGGGTATTCAGTATTGTTAGGACATGCTCTCTTGGCTTCTCATTCCTGCATGCTTTTGTGCTTTATTCTCTTAGGCTTAAGTTGGCTGCCTCCATCTTTAGGGTCATATCTGTAGGGTTCTAAAAGAGGAAAGAGGCCTCCTCAATAGTTTCAGCAAAATAAATCCACAGTAGAGACTCATTAACTTCGTGTAGGTTACATTTCTATATTATAGGAATGATTACTGTGCTCTGGATGATAGAATACTAGAATCCTGGAGCTTATTCCACATAGGTCAGACATCTACCCTGGGGTCAGGAGAGCAGTTGAGAGATTATAGAAGGGGCCTGAGAGAGAAGAGAGTGTGATGTGGATGTGTAGAAGATTTACATTTTGTTAAGCTACTTAATAAGCTCCTCTTTAGGACACTAACATAATTGAGGTAACAGATGGTAGATTCTAGGTTAGTATTTCCTTAGGATGGTTTAAGGTATGCAGGCATACAAAGGGAGGCACAGACTACCAGGCACGTTGGGGCAACAGTTTTTTGCTGAATGACTAATTGTCTTGAGTAGTGATTACTTAAAATATTTTTGTTTTAGGTAAACCAGATGTGGTGGTAAAAGAAGATGAAGAATATAAACGTGTTGATTTTAGCAAAGTTCCAAAGCTGAAGACAGTTTTCCAAAAAGAAAATGGTTAGTGTTAAGAAATGAAGCATAAGAAAAAATTGAGTCAGTACACTACATCTATTCTTGGAATTGCCCAAGGATTTAAAAAAAGTAATTCCAAAACATCTAGGTGTTACTTAAAATTTTCAATATATTAATATTAGAGTCAAGTAAAATTACTTCAAAGTATATTTAAAATTGTATGACAGTTTATATGTTCAATATATAAATTCTGGGAAGAGATTGTATAATGTGACTATGGAATTCAGTTTTTCATATGTGGCAGTCTATTATGGGGTCTTCATTGACATTTTTAAAAACCAGCCTTATTGACATATATTAGGTCATTAAATATGAAATGTCCAACTTCCAATCAAAAGTTTAGTTTAGGCTGGGTGTGGTGGCTCACACCTGTAATCCTAGCACTCTGGGAGGTTGGTGAGAGAAGATTGCTTGAGCTCAGGAGTTCAAGACTGACCTGAGCAAGAGTGAGACTCCATCTCTACAAAAAGTACAAAAATTAGCCAGGCATTGTGGCATGCTGTGCCTGTAGTCCCAGCTACTCAGTAGACTGAAGCAGGAGCATAGAAGTTTGAGGTTACAGTGAGCTATGATGACGTCACTGCACTCTAGTCAGGGTGACATAGACTCTGCCTTAAAAAAAAAAAAAAAGTTTATTATATCTCAAACAAGAAATAGTACAATTAATCAAAGTGCACCTAAATTACTGACACAGTTTTGCCATCTTAATGGTAGCTTATGCCAATAGCGAAGGAGCCTGGAGAGTGAGTGGCAGTGAAATTGTGAAAGGTATTTTCCACAGCTTGTTGAGAATTGAATATTTTTCCTTGCAAAGTGTGGTCCAAAGCCTGGAAGAAATGGTAGTCAGTTGGTGCAAGGTGTGGTGAATACATTGGATGACAGAGAGTTTCCAAGTCCAGCCTCTGTAGTTTGAGCAGCGTTGTTTGTGTGACATGTGGTCGAGCGTTGTCTTGCAAGAGGATTGGCCTGTCTCCATTGACCAATCTCAACTGCTTCCTTGCAAGCATCCTCATCATTTTGTCCAACTGGTTGCAGTAGACATCACTGTAATCAATTGACCAGGTTTCATGAAGCTGTAGTAGGTAATACCGGTGCTGGACCATCAAACAGACACCATTAGCTTTTTTTTGATGAATATTTGGGTTCGGACTGTGTTTCAGTTCTTCCTCTTTAGCCAACCATTGTGCCAAATGCGATTGTCGAATCCATTTTTCATCACACATAACAATGTGGTGTAGATATGGTTTGCCTTTATGTCACGGCAGCAAAGAAAGGCAAGCTTCAAGATGATTTCTCTTGTGACACTTATTTAATTCATGTGGTACCCATCTATCCAGCTTCTTTACCTTGCCCATTTGTTTGAAATGGCCAATATTGTTGGAATAGTAACGTCAAACCTTGTTGCTAATTCACGCATAGGTCAAGATGGATCTGCTTCCACTGCAGCTTTCGTTATCCACCTTGGTCACCCAAATGGCTCATTTTCAAGATTTTTTTTTTTTTAATCTGTGCAGTGAGGAGCAAGGTTCTGTTTCCTTTTTTTTTTTTTTTTTTGAGACAAAGTCTCACTCTGTCACCCTGGGTAGAATGAAGTGGCATCATGATAGCTCACTGCAACTTCCAACTCCTGGGCTCAGGCAATCCTCCTGCCTCAGCCTCCTGAGTGGCTGGGACTACAGGCAAACACCATGCCACCTGGCTAATTTTTCTGTTTTTAGTAGAGAGAGGCTCTCACTCTTGCTTAGGCTAGTCTCGAACTCCTGAGCTCAAGCAATCCTCCTGCCCCGGCCTCCCAGAGTGTTAGGATTATATGCGTGAGCCACTGCACCCAGCCTATTTTCAAGGTTAAAATCACCAGAACAGAACTTCCCAAACCATCAATGTACTGTGCATTCATTAGCCACATCCCTCCTAAACACTTCATTATTTCAAGCTGTCTGCACAGCATCAGTTCCGTGATGGAACTCATGTTCGAAAATAACACGAATATTTGACTTATCTGTGGTTTCACAAAAATTGCTCTAAAAAAAATTTGAAAGATAATCATAAGCAAAACCATGTGTTTGAAAGAATGAGGATGTACCTTCACAATAATAATAAAACAAGTGTCAAAGTGAAATGTTAGAGACACCAACTGTCAAACGTAGTTTATACTTAAGGAAATTGGACATTTCATACTGAATAAAATAATTCACATACCATAAAATTCTGTTAAAGTGGTACAGTGGTTTTTAGTATTTGTTGACATTTGGCTGTGATTCTAGCCAAGAAGTATCTGGTTTTGGCACTGATTTGAAAAGTATTAGAGTGAGTATCTGCTATATTTTGGATAAGCAGAGTTAGACTTTGAGGAGAAAAATGTGAACTGGTCCCTATCTTTGAAGAGTTGCAGACCAGCATTTACCTAGTACTATCATGTATGTGTTCTTGAGCTAGCTTTGAGAAAACTATTACTGAAAGCTAACACCAAAAGGCATTCTTACGTTAATTGTGTTACAGTTAGCTGTGTACATGTTTCCTGAGGGCAGGAAATATCTCCATCCATATTTGCAATTTCTTTATATATTTAGCAACCTAGGCAGTCCTCTGTAGGTTTTTTTTTTTTTTTTTTGAGATAGAGTCTCACTCTGTTTTTTTTTTTTTTTTTTTGAGATAGAGTCTCACTCTGTCGCCAGGGCTAGAGTGCCATGGCATTAGCCTGGCTCACAGCAACCTGAAAACTCCTGGGCTTAGGTGATCCTCTTGCCTCAGTCTCCCGAGTAGCTGGGACTATAGGTGTGCCCCACCACACTCGGCTAATTTTTACTATTTTTTAGTAGAGATGGGGTCTCACTCTTGCTCAGGCAGGTCTCGAACTTTGAAGCTCAAGTGATCCTCCCGCCTCAGCCTCCCAGAGTGCTAAGATTATAAGCTTGAGCCACCAAGACCGGCCTGTAGGTATTTGTTAAATTGCACCAAATGAATTCAGTGTGAAGGAGTGTTTGACTTCATGCTCATTGTTGCTTTCAGGCACAGTTACAGCTGCCAATGCCAGCACACTAAATGATGGTGCAGCTGCTGTGGTTCTGATGACTGCAGATGCAGCCAAGAGGCTCAACGTTAAGCCACTGGCAAGAATAGCAGGTAGAAAATGTTCTGACCTTATTTATTCCTAAAGATCTATAAACTGTTTCTGAAATTGAGGTTCCTTGTTGATAATAAATAATACTGAAGTTGGTTACTTCTACTATGCCTACACCATATTTACCTATACCCTACCTATACCTATCACAAAGTACTACCTATAGGTAGTATGCCACTCACTGTAGGTGCAGCAAAGTACTACCAAAGTGCTACCTATAGGCTGTACTTCATGATAGAATTTAATTTATACGTGTTTCAATTGAGATAGAAACTCTTTTAATGTTTTCGTTATACTTTGCTTTATATAAGAGTAAGCTTTAAAAACCTCTTCCTGTCCTATATGATGAGTAGGAGAAAACAAAGTACATGCTTTAACCGAGAGAGGCAGCCAGGTAGAATAAAAAGAATATGGGAGTCCAGAAATATGAAATCCGGATGTTCTGGCTTTTTTTATTAACTATATGTGGCCTTGGGCAAGCCCCTCAATCTTCTTAAGCCTATTTTAACTGCAAAATCTGCTTTGCCTTCTTCTTAAGGACTTAAACAGATGCTATTTTGTTACTTTATAAAAACTTCATTTTTAGTGTTAGCTTAGATTATGGTCTCTTAACCTCAGCTACTGTTGACATTTTACACTATATAATTCTTTGTTGTAGGGGCTGTTCTGTATGTTTTAGGATGTTTAGCAGCAACCAGTGGCATACCTGTTGTGACAATCAAAAATATCTCTAGACATGTGAGGTTTTGTAGTTTAAAAAAAATTTCTAGACAGTGCTAATATTACTAGAGGCAAATTCCCAAATCCTCTCTCAATGAAAATCAATGTCCCAGTGATTGGTTTAATATTATAAAGAGTAGAATCTTAGAAAAGGAACAACTACATTTACATGTAAGGGTTAGGAAACTTGCATTTAATGGATTAACTTGGCTTTTGCATATTATATATAATGGACAAAGCTTTGGGTGCTTGTAAAAAAGATTTTAACAACCTATTTTTTTAATAGCATTTGCTGATGCTGCTGTAGAACCCATTGATTTTCCAATTGCACCTGCATATGCTGTACCTAAGGTGAGAACAAAGTGATGGAATATGGTCCCGTATCACATTATGCCAACCTCTAGTTTGCTTATACCAAGGTTGCAGTTTTTATATTTTAAATGTTACTCATCTGCCATAGCAGATAGCTTAGTTTTGAATCTTCCCACTTCTCCTGAAAACAGTAAGAGCAACAAGGGTAACAAAAATAAATACATAAAAGAGCAGCCCACAAACTAGATCTTCAGTAGAACAGATAAAAACTACATAACTGAATTACTTGCAAGTATGATGCTGAACTCATACACTTGGTGTGGTAGCCAAAAAGGGAAGGTTGGTGATTCCAGATCTATTTAATAGAATTCAAAGCAAATGGTCACTCCCAGAAGGAGAAGTCTCCATCCTAAAGAGGAGTATTGGCATCAGGTCTTAGAGTAAACAGTAAAACTAGAGACAGAAAACCTACATATTCCAAATTGTACTAAGTGCTATTAATATCAAAGGCAGAAATAACCAGGTCTCTGTGGGAAGTTGCTAAGGGGTCACAGGAAAAGAAAGAATGCTGAGGAGGTTTAGGAGTCCAGGGATCTCAAAAATCTTCAACAAATATTCCTTCCAAGAGAGGGCCTCACCTTGACAATGAACTTCTGAGAGCACACCCAGATTAAAAAAAGAACAGAATTAGTAGGGAATAAGAATAGAGAAGCATCAGAAACAATGGGGCTTGGGGGTGGTAATGATCTGTCCAGAGTAAATAGAAAGTGACAGAAGTATATAACTTCTGAAAGTGAATGCATCACATTAGAAAGCAAGGATAATAAACAGTTCTGGCTTCTGAAGGTAGAAGCCAGTTCTGGACCCTGACTCTGAGAGCTGTAGAAGTGGATATATTTGGGTACCATCTTTTATCTTGTGCTGTTGGAACAGAGGAAGCTGAGTTGTACAGCTTATAAAGCTACTTTAGCTCGCTAGTAGAAGAGAGGAAGGAGGAGGAAGAGTTCCATGTTAATTTTATTGTTGCCCACAATAAAATTTCTTCTCTACAGAAAAAGGGTACTAGCAATATTTTATAAAAGTATTAGCATAAGGATAATCACTAGCACAAAACACCTTCCTACATAGCTGAGGATCTACCAAAACAAAACAGATCGTATTAATATAATGAAAGACTTTAAATAAATGATTTACAATGAAGATGTAACAGATGTAAATATCTGGGCCCCAGATAACCCCACAGCAACTTTTATAAAGGAGAAACTACAGAGGATGCAAAGAAAAACATTGTATTAATACAAGCCAGGAGTGGAGTCACGTTCCTGTAGTCCCAGCTACTCAGAAAGCTGAGGTAGGAGAATTGCTTGCGCCCAGGAGTTTGAGGTTGCAGTGAGATTTGATTGCACCACTGCACTCTAGCCTGGGCAACAAAGAAAAAAAAAAATTATACATACTAATAGTAGAAGCTAACATACCTCTTTCATTTGACAGATAAAGAATATAGAACTAAGCAACATATAATCAGTTAAAGCAATCTTAAAAATACAATAGCCTTCTTTCCAACTCGGGCTGGGCAGAATGGCTCCCCCCAAAGAAGGGTGGTGAGAAGGGCTGTTCTGCCATTAATGAGGTGGTGACCTGAGAATACATCATCAACATTCACAAGCCCACCTGGAGTGGGCCTCAAGAAGCATGCCCTTCTTGATCTTGAAATTTGCCACGAAGGAGATGGGAACTCCAGATGTGCACATTGATACCGGGCTCCACAAAGCTTTCTGCGCCAAAGGAAAAAGGAATGTCCTATACCGTATCCTTGTGTGGTTGTCCAGAAAACGTAATGAAGATGAAGATTTGCCAAACAAGCACTGTACTTTAGTTCCTATGTACTTGTTAACACTTTCAAAAATCTACAGTCAACATGGATGAGAACTGATTGTCAGATACGTTAAAGTTAATAAAGCCACACACAAAATACCTAAAACGTTATATACCCCCAATAGAGAATATACCTCCAAGTATCTGTGGAATATTCAAGAAAATCAAATTTTATCTCCTCAAAATGGATACAAGATAATGCAAACAAAATTCTTTGATTATAATGCAATAAGATGAGAATTTAAAGGGATCCTTCCACCTAAACCTAAGAACCTCTATATTTAAATAACATCAAAGGGAAATACAAACCAAAATTATAGAATTTCACAGAAACAATGAAAAAAGTTGTGATTGCTATTTGAACATCATCTGTCTTTTAAAAAATTTTAGGTTCTTAAAGATGCAGGATTGAAAAAAGAAGATATAACAATGTGGGAAGTAAACGAAGCCTTTAGTCTGGTCGTACTAGCAAACATTAAAATGCTGGAGATTGATCCCCAAAAAGTGAATATCAATGGAGGAGCTGTTTCTCTGGGGCATCCAATTGGGTAGGTAAAGTCATAAAGAAAAATATATCTAGGTTAATAGCTGCCTTTGCATGCATGTCTATCTAAACTTAAACTGCTTCGTGATAATTCCTATTGGTCTTAGTTTAATATTTCCTTCCCACTCATCCTTCATAAAGCAAGTGCCTTTTCTGATAGGTGGTATCCAGCACTGAACACAGAAATCTGTCACATCTGTTGCTTGAAACCTAATAGTTTTATGCTGAAGAAGAAAAATACCTTAAAACTAAAGTCTGCACTTGGGCTTTAAAAAGAGCTGTGACCCTTCCTGAAACAAGTCTGTTAAGTTTAAGAAAAGTAGTTCTTTCAGTTATAAGTAGTGGCTAATGAGATTTTCAAGAAGTTAATTTGGAATAGAAACATTTTTGGTTAGTCCTAAATTCTGTACTTCATTAAAAAACCAAAATGCTTTCTTAATCCTAGGATGTCTGGAGCCAGGATTGTTGTTCATTTGACTCATGCCTTGAAGCAAGGACAATACGGTCTTGCCAGTATTTGCAATGGAGGAGGAGGTGCTTCTGCTATGCTGATTGAGAAGCTGTAGACACCCTCTGTTTAAGGAGATAACCCTGTGTGACCTGATGTAATGAGTGTGTCTGTGCTGGGTGGTCTTGTACTTTAAAATAAGCTATTTCATTTTTTAATTATTTTCTATTTTAACTTTTTTAAATAAAAAGGATTAAATCCAAAAGCCTTTTGAAATTAAAAATAAATTTTTTTCTTTGCTTTTTTTGGTAATCTTTAAAAGTTTGATACTTTTTTACATTATGAATCTATACTATTTGAAATAACTGTGCAATATCAGTGACTTACGTAAGTAGCTAGAAGCTTCTATTTCACAGAATAAATAATTTGTTTTTGAGGATTGTTAAAGGTCAAGTGAATGTTATTTGTAGGCAATTTATATTTAGTAGATTGTTTAAGAGCTGGCTATTTTGGACAAACTAGCAGAAACCACATAGTGTGTACAGTAGTGCTAGAAATACGAAAGAAGCCCATGTGCTCAGGTCTGTCTAGTGCGGGGCAATTTCTCATAACCTCAGCATTCAGGATTGGGGTATTGGGCAGGAGAGGTCAAACTCAGAAAAGCCTGGGGTTTGGGCTCTGAATTACTATAGCAGCACAAAGAGTGGGAAAGAAGGTGGGAACTGATAAACTGAATAGATTTATAAAAAAGGGAAGAGATTGCCACTTCTACTATGCCACAATGCCTGCTCTTGAGTAGGACAGACCATAGCATGAATATAGTGAATTGCATTTCATCTGGAAAAAAATTTAAAAACACTGTGGGCAGAGGCTATGCACATCCAACTTCAACTGCAGCTCTGAAAAGGGAAAACTCCCACTCAGTGTGGATGGGGAGAGGACAGCAAAGGTCATTGTGTACACATTATCTGTTGGCAAATACTTCTTTGAAGGAACAAAAAAGAATATATGGGAAAAAAGAACAGCTGTTTTTCACATTCAGAGGAAAAGTATTTTCCAAAACATTTGTAGAGCAATCACAACTAACTTTTGAGAATCATGTTCTAAGTACAAAGCTTTATATTAACTCATATCACAAAAACTCTTATAAGTGGACACCATTATTATCCCTGCTTTAAGGAAATTGAGGCAGTGTGGCTAAATAGCTAACCTATGGTTCAAATCCAAGTTAGTCTAGCTCCAGAGCCCAAGTTTTTTTTTTTTTTTTGAGACACTCTTGCTGAGTCACCCTGGGTAGTGTGCCATGGCATCAGCATAGCTCACAGCAACCTCAAACTCCAAGGCTCAAGCATTCCTCCAGCCTCAGCCTCCCAAGTAGCTGGGACTACAGGTGTTGGCCACCACGCTTGGCTAATTTAAAAAGTATTTCTACTTTTAGTTGCCCAGCTCATTTTTCCTATTTTTAGAGACTGGGTCTCGCTCTTGCTCAGGCTGTTCTCGAACTCCTGACCTCACGCGATCTTCCCACCTCAGCCTCCCAGAGTGCTAGGATTACAGGTGTGAGCAACCTCACCTAGGCCAGAGCCCAAGTTCTTAACTTATTAATACTATGCTTTACTTTAATCACCTTTCCATAATCACAATAAGTACCCACCCCAACTTATAAGAACTTATAACTGAACCAGGAGCTGGGTAAAATACAGGAAAAAAGGAAATCCAAAATATATTAGAGTACTTCACCGAATATAAGCAGAATAAATACTGCATCCAAAGGTCAGTGATCTGGAAAACACCTGAAAAGCATTCTGACAATTTTGTGAAAAAATGGAAAGGAAGAGAGAAAAGATACAGAGCTACCAAGTAAATGGTGTTTCTCAAAAAAAAAAAAAAAAAAAAAAAATAAAGTATTCTGAAACAATCCAATATAATAATAGAAAACATAAAGATAATAGGAAAACTCAGATTTTTAAGTCCTAAATGGGAAGATTCATTGGCAAAGTGAATTAGCAGAGAATCATACTAAGACATTCTGGAGAAAATAAGGAAAAAAAATCTCTCAAACATCTAGGTGGAAAAATAGGTAGCCTTAGTCCTTATTTCTATTACATTAAACCCCAGAGAACAAGTGAACATCTATGTGTTTTCAATAGAACAAAGTGATAAGATATTAGAAAGTGTCTCAAGCACATAAAAGCTTAAAAAATAGAGCACTCTTATGTTTCCTCCATAAATGAGGAAGGGTTAGCCAGGCATGGTGGTCTGTGCCTATGATCCCAGCTACACAGGGGGCTGCAGTGGGAGGATTGCTAGAGACCAGGAGTTTCAGAGCAGCCTGGGCAACAGCAAGACCCTGTCTCGGGGAAAAAAAAAAGTCAAAGGTTTAGGTCAGCCCATGGCAAGAAGTAAGAATTCAGGTATGTAAAAGTTTTTAGTTTTTTAAATGACTAATTAAGGATGAGCTGGAGAAAAAGGAAAGGTAGGGGTGAAATATGGGTAACATATCTGCTAAATAAAAACAAACACCAGTAGGATGAGTTCTACATCTTACATTACTATAGAAGATAAAAGCTGAAAAATACAACGATAAAAAAGAGAAGGCTGGCACATACCACAATTATTAGAAATCAAGGCAGAAAGTGTTCAAATAGGGAAAACTATTTTATATAAATAAGAGATTATTCAAAATGAAATCATGACAGTTACCATGCACTGAGCAACAATACAAAAGCAAAGCAAAAGCTATGGCCAAGTAATTATAATGGGAAATTAAACATTTAGGGAAAAAAAGTGTTAAAAGCAAAGTAAGACAGGATTCAAACAGTATAAGACTGAATAAATATCAAATTTTATACATTTAGAAACAATATATTTAAGTACCTATGCTACATTTATAAAAATTTTAATCTATCTTGACAATAATAAAAACAATTTTAAGCAAAAAAAAGGCTCGATGACACTTATTCTTAGAAATTACGTGGCATGTGTCTGTAGTCCCAGTTACTTGGAAGGCTGAGGCAGGAGGATCACTTGAGCCCAGGAGTTTGAGGATGCAGAGAGCTATGATGACCATCATGGCACTCCAGCCTGGGCAATGGAGTGAGACCATCTCTAAAAAAAAAAAAGAAAAAAGAAAGGAAAAAAAAATCATATAACTTTTTATTCATCTAAAGAAGTTAAATAAACATGCAAAAAGGACTCTGGAAAAAAAAAAAGGAAACGCAAAGAATAAAGTAGAAACAGTATACAATTGTTAAATTTAAGAGGTGTTTTTGTCAGAAAAAGTAGTCATATATCTCATTTAAAAGGGAACCCAAACAATTTTCAGTCAAATACCCTATTTTTTTTCTAAATTTTGTTTGGGTTCTCTTTTAAATTAGGTATGACTAATTTTTTTCTGAAAAACTTTATTTTTTGTGTTTTTTTTTTTAAAAGACTTAAGGTGAGATGGGGATTATGGATTTGCTCTTGAACATAAAAGCTCCAAGTAAAAGTTGTCTTTGGACTTCATCTAGAAGCTCTTGGCTAGTTAACAAAGAATCTTAAAGAAAGTGAACTTATTTGCATATGAATTCTCAGTATTTAGCACATATAAATATGAATTGAATGAGAAGAAAATCTGTAACTTTCAGCATTGTATGAACTCCCAAAAAAGAGTACACAAAAATTGACTTGCAAAGGAATTTAATCAAAGTTTCTAAACAAGATTGCCAATATAAAGTAATTCAGACTTTTGAGGTTAATGAAAATATTTATTCAAACCTAACTGGTACAGTATCAAGGTAAGTTAAATAAACATTAACTGTATGATATTTAGTTCCTTAGGAATAGACCATTGCCACATCATAAAAACTTCTTACATCACATATTTCTGCAGTAATGTTCAGCAATTAAGACATGATTTCTACATTGAGAAATGTTGTGTTGGAGTAGGATGGATTTATTTTTTTAAAGGCCTAGTACAAAAAAATGGTTGAGGAAAGTGACTCTTTAACAAAATATACACCATAGAAAAAAACCCGAATGTACTGGTGTTTAATTAAACAGAAAGCACTTAAGAGAACATACTTTAATATCTAGGCACAATTGGTCAGGTACTAATTATAATTTCTGTTCTCATTTAAGTTTACACCAATTCTTCAATTTAACTGATGTGTATGAACCTAAATGCAGAGAAGGCACCTCTCTCACTCTCTGTAAGTACCTTTTGAGAGTAACTCTTTATAACACTCTAAGGGACACACAGACAAAACACTATATCTAAGTATAGATATAGTTATTTAACACACCCCATTTTAGGAGAAACTAAATTAAAATATAAAACCATGATTTCTCTTTTTACATCTTATGATGGACATGACTTTCTAAAAGGACACCAGAAGATAATCCTCCACACAAACTTTAACATAGAACAGAAGATTTAAATTAAATGTGCATTGTTCACTACTATGTAAAGGGTTCTATGAATTAGTGCAATTCTTTAAATCCCCAGTATTTAGGGGAAAAGTATATACATACTATGAAATCTCAACTACTACAAACCAAACTTTTTATGGCTCAATAGTCTAACCACTTAAAGTTCTGTAAAAAAATCTTAAAAGTTATAAATGAAAGATCAGAACACTTAATAAATGGTTTACAAAATTCTCTCTTTAAAACAAAGAGAATGAACGAGCAGAAGAAATAGTAAAGTGTAAAATTCTAGGAATATAATCTTTATTATGACTGTAAGAAGGGCTTGGTAAAATATTCACTCTAAAAGAAACCCATCAAACTGTTGATTTCTGATTAGATACTTTACTACCAGGTGAGGTGGTTATCATTTTGTAGTACTTAGTGGCTATGTATTTAAATGTCTTGTTGAACAATTACTGAGGGTGATTTATAAGGATAAGCATCATTTTCCTTCAAAAGAAGTAAGAAACTATTCCAGATGAATAAGCCTCACAATTAGGGTTCATAAGAAGTAAAAAAAAAACACAGTGTAAGAACATTAGGTTGATTTAACCTCTATTTCAACAAGATTTATACAATATTTACAATATGCAATTGTCAAAGCTATACAGTTTTGCAGATTGGCTTTACTTACATTTCTGCAAATGTTTTTTCCAAAATAAAAATATCCCAAGTAAGTCTATTTACAACATAGGAAGCTGCTTCAGAAACAGCATGATTTAGATATAAAGTGAAATTTCAGTACAGTGAAAAGTGCAGGTCATGCTTTCAGATTCTGTCAATATCCCACTCCCTACACTCATAGTTTAAGGGATACAAGTTTTAAATAGCTACTGTTCTTATGTTTAGAATGTTTACTCATCATAATGCAACGATAACAAAAATTTGTCCACATCCATTCCAGCTGGAAATGAACTGGGCAGCTTCTTTTTCTGTCAAAAAAAGAAGAAAAAAAATAAAAATTAACTCAAACAAGGCCAAAAATCTTTCTTAATAAGTTCACCTAGAACAGTATATTAGGTTCTTCCATATACTTGTAAAATTGCCAAAATTTTTTTATTAGAATTTTAGTTCTACAGAGAAATACAGGCAAGTTTTATTAACCCAAAGTTAATTAAATATACTTCAAGGTACTTCAATGTTAGTTTAGGACGAAAGACATTACACAAATTCAGAGTGTATGAATGTTCAATGACACAAGATAGAAATGTTTTCCATATGATGGCCACTACTACCTAGAAAGCTTTGAGATATTAAGAGTAAAAGGCACTTCTCAAATTCCAAGCACTTAATATACACCAGGTATTTTATATACACTACATTCAGTCCTCAAAATATAAGATGTATGGTAACATGTCAAGTGATAAGGCTGAGACCCAAAGAGGCTAA